TTGTCAACATCTTGAGCCTCCTCAATAGCCGTAACTTTTGGTTGGAACCGATCGGGCAAGGATCTCAAAATTTTTTCCACAACTTTAGATTCTGGTATTTTTTCACCTAAATTGAAGCTGAAATTTACAATGTCACTCAACTTCGCATAAAATTCATCAAAGGTCTCACTATCTTTCATTGAAAGGTTTTCGAAACTAGACGTGAGCCTTTGAAGTTTTGAGCGTTTAACAGAATGAGTGCCCTCATGAATAGTTTGTAAGATATCCTAAGCCTCTTTTGCGACCTCACACTTGCAAATTCGACTAAACTCTTCAAATGTGACAGCGCAAAAGAGAGAATTGATAGCTTTACTATTCCAGCTACTATTTTGGTAATCAATTGTGTCCCACTTTTCAATTGGTTTGGGGAAAGTTACTCCATCAACGGTAATTATCGGTTCAGTCCACCCATACATGACAGATTACCAAACTTTTTCATCAATAGATTTTAAAAACGATCTCATCCGAGCTTTCCAAAACGAATAATTGGATCCGTCAAGTAGGGGTGGTCGAACCATAGAATTTTCCTCACGAATTGAATCCATTATCACAAATCAAACAAGATCTCGGTCAAAAGTTTTAAAAAACAAATGAGCAACCCGCTCTGATACCAATTGAAAAATCTAGAAATCCGCTAGAAATTGATTTGTGATTATGTATCAATTTAAAGCAATAAAATAATCCCAATCAAACAATCAAGACAAATCAACACAACGATTTTACTTGGAAAAATCACAATTGGACACCTCCAATTGTGATAAAAAAAACCACAGGCAACAGTCACAAAACAATCTACTAAGAAGATATAAAGGAATTACACAGGTATACTCTCAATTACCTAGCGAATCCACGCCCGAATTGAACCAACCACTATGTGTCTTTTCCAACCCCGTCTTCACCTCGGGATTGTCTTGAAGATGAGCCACTCCAGAATCCACCAAAGCTTCAGGCTCGAATTCTTCAGAATCCACTGAAGAACAACTCTCTCTTTTATGTAGAACAAACAAATAATCCTTTGATGTATACTCTTTAAACCATGAGTTGAATACTCAATCAAAACATCAAAGAAAACTAGCAAAATATCCCCAGATATAAACCCTAGAACCCAAGAAGAAGATCTGGTGCAGTAATCCTAGATTTGGACTGAAACACGTATTTATAGAAAACTGTCTCGCGATCTCCGCTCGAGGGTCGGATTGGCCGCTCGAGCAGACCTACGCTCGAGCACGGAAAGTTCCGCTCGAGCGGGAAAAAACAACATCCAGTATTTTTGCAGGCAAATAAACTTCTGGAACTTAGCATTCTCCTCTCGAGCGGGGGAATGTCCGCTCGAGTGGACAGACAACTTGGAATGCATTTTTGCATTTTGCTTCGGGGGCGCTGCCCCTCGACCCCGCCGTGGCGTTGCCCTCTCGACCCTTACGAGCTAACCGGGCAGCTCGATCCCCATCATAATCAGCGAAGTGGTAATCTTAAAAGTATTAACATCACAAACTCCTCTGCAAGGCACAATTCGAGTTGGATTCACATCTAAAAACTCATAGCCTCACTGAAATAAAAATGCGAAAACAAATACAACTGAAAGGAGTTTTGTCAAACGGGATTGCCAAAAAAAAAACCTAACAAAAGTTTAAATAAAAATAAAAATTTTATCCTTCAAAGTTTATTTTAGTACTTTTAAACAATAAATAAAAAATTAATTGACCAAATTGCACCTTCTAGAACCAGTTAAAACCCACCACCCCAATAGCCACCACTACCAATTTCTATCTCTCACATGCATTTTTTCAAACACCTTATATGTATTGTTAAATATACAAACAATAACTGATCTTTCCTCAAAATAAAATAAAAGAACATATTACACAATGTCACTCTCAACTATTTCATCAAACACAGTTTATCTCAAAATCAATCATAAAACAACAAAGGGAAAAAGGTAAAAGGTATGTGTAATTTGCCCATACAATTTTATTTTCTTTCTTTTGAGATTGTTTTCTTTGACTTGGCTTTTGTTGTTAGAGTTAAAGAAGGAAAGGAGGATTGGTAGGTGATCACTATCAACTATCATGGTTGATAAGGTTGGTCCAATTTATTTGGCTATTTGTAATATTTGTATTATACACAAGAAAAACATAATAGATTCCTAAACATGGACTGTGGGAAAAAGGCTAAAGGTGTTTGAATATGGACTATGGGAGTTTCTTTAAGACAAAAATAATTTCGAGATTGTGCCTTCATCAATAAAATTGATTGTATAATTAATCAAACACAATGCCTAATGGAAACAAACTCGTTGGAAAAAGAATTAAAGTAACAAACTTGTTGGAAATATACTTGTTTCACCCAAAAAAATTAATACTCAAGAAAAAGAATTAGACACCTCAAAAAAATACTACCAAATTCAGAAGATACTCAAAAAAATATACTTACTGGAAATATAGAAGAAGATTCTTCACCTGAACAGTATACCAGATTCTTTTGGTTTGCTCTCTTGCCGGAAATATACCATGATGGGTTAAATACCAGATTCTTCCTTTAGATTCTTCATTTTACAGTAGCTCCATTCGGTCGTCACTGCCACTGTTGATGAAGATTGGGATGGCGAAGAGAAAGAGGGAGGAAGAGAGAAGATGAAGAAAGTAATAGGGTTCGGGGTTGGGTCTCTGGCAAGGGTTGGGCTCTGACAGGAATTGAAAAACAGTATGAGAATGGGCTCCCATGGAGAGAGAGAGAGAGAGAGACAGAGAGACAGAGTTTGTGTTCAAATTTTGAAATTTAGAAGAGAGAGACAGAGATTTTGAGATGAGGGGAGTCAGTGTGAGAGAGATTTTGGAACTTACATTTTGAACCATTAGATCTTGATTGTAATTGATCTTAACCATTGAAATGTCCAAATAGGACAAATGAAAGTAAGACATTTTCAACCATTGAATTAAATCAATGTAAAAGTCCATATGTTGACACATATACATTTTGAGTCCTTGAATTCAAAACAAGCCTTCCACATGAAAATAAATTAAAAATTAAAAATGAAAAAGGGAAGTGGTGTTGAATTCTATCACATATATATATATAGAAAGAGAGAATAATATTATAAAGAGAGTAATATTTTACTAAGGAAGGTTCAAAGTCAAATGTTACCTATACCCATTCAAAATATTTCTAATTGAATTATCTTTGAGTCTACATTGAGTCTTGCATACTTTTCTATCATTTTATTCATGTGGAGGATTGTTGAAAAAATGATTTGAAACCCATTAATAGGTGAATAAGAAATTGACTCCAAAGTGAACCATTTGAGTATGGTTTTAAGATTAAATTTATTTAATTTAAAATTAAATTTATTTGTTATTTATTTGGGTGAAAATTGAATCAGATTTGATTCAAAATTTGAATATGTTTGAAAGAATGGTCATATTTGTTCTTTGCACCTATTCCATGGAAGAGTTGTGTCTCTTGATAGGAAAGAGATGTGCCTTTTCATTGAAGAGCCACCATTTCACCTATATAATTAGACCCCCATTGCATTCATTAAATATGAAATTCATCTTTTGTCTCTCTTTTCTGCACTATGTCTTTTCTGTAAGAAAATTCTGCACAGTAAGGTTCTACTACAACAAAAAAAGCCTTTGGTGACAGACTGATTTTGTCTCCAAATATCAAATTTTCGTCACCAAAAGTGATCTGTGACGAAAAACATTTGTCACCACGTTCGTCGTCTATTTGTCATCGCAGAAAGTACCTGGTGACGAAAAATCATTTCGTCGCCTATTCTTCATTTTTGGCAACAAAAATTTTCATCTCTAAATGTTGAATTTTTCGTCCTCTATAACATCCATTTCGTCACTATAATTAAATAATATTTTATTTTTAATTGTTTTGGCAATAAAATATTTCGTCACAAAATATTAAGATAGAAGTTTTAGTGACGAAACTTATCCTCACCAATGATATAGATTAAGGTGACAACAATTCGTCACTAAAATGAGCACAAAACAAAATTCTTCAATGACAAAACAATTTGTCACCAAATATTTCAAGTTAGTGACAAAATATTCAGCAAATGTGACAAAATTATTTGTTGGAACTATATCATTAGTGACAAAATTATTCGTCAAGAAAAGTTGTTTGAAAACTAATAGAGACAGTTTTTTATTTCATCGCTAATAATAATTAACATTTTTTTAAAAATTGAGGTAATATTTTAAATTTAAATTTTTTTTTACTAAAATTCCCTGCACATTTTAATAACATATTTAATAAAATATCTATTACATATTAATACAAAAACTTGTTCATTTTCATAAACACTACAGTTGAAATATGTCTCACAATATCCACAAAAATACAATATCAACTGCGGATTACAAAACATGTCTCCTAATATGCACAGAAAACGCGTCTCCTAATATCCACAAAAATATAATATCAAGTACAGATTACCAAACATGTCTGCTAATATATACAAAAATATAAACTTTACAACGCAACCAAAATACATATAAGGTAATATTAACAAAAAACACAAAATGAGCAAACTTCTGCTCTCCAAATTACCAAACACATCCATCTCTAATCTCCAATCTGCAACAAAACAAAACCAAAAAAAAAAAAAAAAAAAAAAAAAAAAAGAGGAAGACAATTACTATCTTATCGATAAAATATACAATTTAACATTTTTCGAAAAGTGTATTTTTTGACTTAGTTTTCAAACGAGAAGTCCCGTGCTAGTTCAATAAATTTTCACAACTTATATTGGTCCCTCCCGAGGTGTTTGAGGTGTTACCCTTGCCTACTCGTGGCTGTTTTACGATTTTGGCTTCCCGATAGCCTATTTTCAAGCTTAACTGTTAGAAAAATGCATTTTTCTACTTAGTTTTCAAACTGAGAATCCAGTGCTAGTTCCGTAAATTTTCACAAGTTACATCGGTTCCTCTCGAGGTGTTCGGGGTGTTCCCGTGGCTTTCTTGTGGGTGGATCACGATTTTGACCCCCGATGGCCTATTTTCAAGCCTAAGTGTTGGAAAAGTGCATTTTTCTAATTAGTTTTCAAACTGGGAGTCCCGTGCTAGTTCCACAAGTTTTCACAACTTACATTGATCCCTCCTGAGGTGTTCGGGGTGTTCCCGTGGCCTTCTCATGGGTATTTCACGATTTTGGCACCCGATGACCTATTTTTAAGCCTAAGTATTAGAAAAGTGCATTTTTCTACTTGGTTTTCAAACCGCAATACTTTTTCTACAACCTAACTTCATGCATAAACACCACATTCAGAAGTTCAGTGATCCCATGTTTTCAACAAAATCTTCAATCCAATGGGACTTAAAAGAATCTAAAAACAGAAATGCGTCTAAATGTTGAAGAGAACACCTTAACTACACTAATAATTTTGGAGCATGAAATTCACCTAAAGATGAAACTACACATTATAAACTCTATTTTTAATAGAACCCAGTGAATTCAAATTCAAACATTTCTTGCTTTATCTATGTTATTATTATTATTCAAGTCATAAGAAGAGAACTCATACAATCGTTTATAAAAACAACTAGTATCAACACAAAACATCATTTGTTAGGAAATTCTTCAAAGTTGGTAGCACTCATTTATTACCTTCATGAAGATTTCAATATCAACATCAGGTTTAATATTTGCTTCTTTCTCTCTCCTTTGTAACTCTGCTAATATATCTGCAAATGTTTGAAAAGAATAATTAACATACTTAACTTGTAACAAGTCATCGGTGCCCATGGTTTTAGCATATGTAAACAAAAGAAAATAAAACTAAACTAATCTGTTTATCAACCATAATGGGATTTGACCCCTTGGCATCTCGTTGAAAATGCCAAGGTTTCTCTCACAGTCATTTCCCCAATATGAAGATCATGCTGACTATTATATCCAGCAATTCTTTACAGTACAAACTTATGCATTTCATGGCCATTCATTAACACATAACCCCATAAAAAGTTCTAAAAAAAATAAATCGAAATGAGAAAGACATAGTGTAGGAAATGTTAATACCATTCCAGCTTTCCCAAAATTTCCTTCTCCATGAGAAGAATCTGTTACCTAACATAAGCGTTGTCTGATATGAAAATGAAGTCATTAATTAACCCACAAAAATCCTAAAATCAAAAAAAAAAGATTGCACTTGCAATTATAGTGAAGCCAATAGACTTTTAGTTCAAACATGAATTACAGAAGATGAGAAACAACAAAACACTACTTACCTCTGGTGTTCAAATTTGATTTTCAAATTTCATGTTTGGTTTGATTTTCAAATTATACTGAAACATGAAAGCACAATATAAAAGTAGAGGAGGGTAAATTCAAAATATATACCTTATATATGAACTTATAAATCAATGAATTGTAAACCTACTTATTATAATAATATTTGGAGGATTCAACCTAAGGCATCATACCAAACATAAGGAGCTTTGGGCATAATTAGAAGCATAACAATAGCAACTTCACACAGTTTATGAAGCACAAAGTGCTTTCTAGTCTTGTCATAAGATGTATACATCAATCATACTAATATTTTAATTTCTAAAAGATTAAAAAATAAAATAAAATGATTCAAGAACCATATTTTCTCATGAATTTTCTTCACGAACCATCGTGGAACTAATAAAATTATGATGTCAACACTTTGAATAATAAAATATATAATCATACTTATTTGGAAGGTATGATTAAAAATAAATATTATCTCACTCAATTAAATTATAAGTTTTCATAATTTACATTGGTTCCTCTCGAGGTGTTCATGATGTTTTCTGGGCCTTATTGTTCATATTTCACTATTTTGTCCTTCAATGGCCTATTTTCAAGCTTAAGTGTTGGAAAAATTCATAATTCAAAGTAGTTTTCAAACTAAGAGTCACGTGTTTGTTCCAATGGGAAGCCACGTCTATTGTATAGCGATCCCGGTTTACACCGACCTTTATTGTGTTCCAGACTCAGGTTCCATGATTGTATATTATTGTCTATATCTTGTTTCTTCCCTTTAATTTTTTGAATTTGAGTTTTGGGACTTGTTGGGCGAGTTTGGAACAGGTTGCTTGTCTTTCGGTACAAATGGTTGTTGCCCAGATTTGGCTTCTTCGCTCGAGCGAGTTTTGTGAAAATGTTCTTTCGCTCGAGCGAGGCTTCTTGCGCTCGAGCGTGCGTCTGCGTTAGGTGACAGACCTGAAGCTTCACATTCTACGCTCAAGCGAAGCGACCTTTATGTGTCTGGTCGCTCGAGCGAGAACTCCTTCGCTCGAGCGAATCTGTTCATATCAGATCGTGAATGAGTCATTTTAGATCATTTTTGCAGCTCACTTTCTCTTAAAAACTCTCCATGAATGCAGGTCTTCATACTCTCTCTCTAGAATACACATTCTCTCTAAGATTTCATCTAGATCCGTTGTGTTCTTAACCCTAGTGTCTTTGAGAATAAGGTAGAGGGCTTCAAGAGCTTCATTTTGATCCAAGAAATAATTGGTTTCGTCATCTTTGGAGTTCCACCTTGTTACTTGGGTTTTCTACACTTAAGGTAGAGAATTTCTACACTCTAATATGGTTTTTAACTTAGTTATTTGCTATTGTATATAGATGATGAGATTTGATTGTGGTTTGGACAAATCTAGGATTTGGGTGTGAAATGAAAAGAAGGGTTTTTGATGAAATTGGCATAAGTGGGTTTGAGGTTTGGATACAAGGTTGTATTGGGCCAAAATAGTTGATTTTGGTGTTTGGGTTGATATATGATGAAAAGGGGATTTTACCCTAATTTGATTAAATCATTATTTTGCATAAATAATTGGGATTAACATTGAAAATGTGAAATTGGAAGGTTGTGGTTATAAATGGTGATATTGGATATGTAATATCTCACCTATGGAAGTTTTGAATAAGAGAAGTTTGTGATGTTAATACTTTCAAGATTGCCACTTCGCTGATTATGACGGGGATCGAGCTGCCCGGTCAACTCGCAGGGGTCCAGGGGCAACGCCCCTTGGCGGGTCTGGGGCACCGCCCAGGCGGGGTCGAGGGGCAGCGCCCCCGAAGCAAAATGTAAAATTGCATTCAAAGTTGCATGTCCGCCCTTACTCGCTCGAGCGAACGCTGCGTTTGGCCAAAAACCTGAGAAGGATGAATGTACGCTCGAGCAAAGGTTGTTTGGCTCGAGCGAAGCCACTTATGGAAAACACGCGTTTTTGGTTCCTCACTCGAGTGAGAGAGTCTTCGCTCGAGCGAGCTTCGCAGTCCCAGATTTCCATAAGTACGTGTTCCTGTCATATTTTAGGATTACTCCTCCAGATCTTATTTTTGGATATTAAGGTTTATATCTGGGGATATTTTACTAGTTTTCTTTGATGTTTCATTGAGTATTCAACTCATGGTTTAACGAGGATACATCAAAGGATTGTTTGTTCATTTTATACAAAAGAGAGAGTTGTTCTTCGGTGGATTCTGAAGAATTCGAGCCTAAAGCTTTGGTGGATTCTGGAGTGGCTCATCATCAAGACAATTCCGAGGTAAAGACGAGACTGGAAGAGGCACATAGGGGTTGGTTCAATTCGGGCGTGGATTCGCTAGGTAATTGAGAGTATACCTGTGTAATTCCTTCATATCTTCTTAGTGGATTGTTTTGTGGCTGTTGCCCGTGGTTTTTTTATCACAATTGGCGGTGCTCCAATTGTGGTGTTTCCAAGTTAAAATCGTTGTGTCGATTTGTCTTAATTGTTTGATTGAGATTATTTTATTGCTTTAAATTGATACATAATCATAAATCAATATCTAGCGGATTTTTAGATTTTTCAATTGGTATCAAAGCGGGTCGCTCTTTTGTTTTTTAAAACTTTGAGCGAGATCTTGTTTGATTTGTGATAATGGATTCAATTCATGAGGGAAATTCTATGGTTCGACCACCCCTACTTGACGAATCCAATTATTCTTTTTGGAAAGTTCGGATTAGATTGTTTTCAAAATCTATTGATGAAAAAGTTTGGCAATCTATCATGTATAGGTGGACTGAACCGACAATTACCGTTAATGGAGTAACCTTCCCCAAACCAATTGATAAGTGGGACACAATTGATTACCAAAATAGTAGCTGGAATAGTAAAGCTATCAATTCTCTCTTTTGCACTGTCACACCTGAAGGGTGTAGTTGTATTTGTAATTGTGAAGTCGCAAAAGAGGCTTGGGATATCTTACAAACTATTCATGAGGGCACTCCTTCTGTGAAACGCTCAAAACTTCAAAGGCTCACATCTAGTTTCGAAAACCTTTCAATGAAAGATAGTGAGACCTTTGATGAATTTTATGCGAAGTTGAGTGACATTGTAAATTCCAGCTTCAATTTAGGTGAAAAAATGCCAAAATCCAAAGTTGTGAGAAAAATTTTGAGATCCTTGCCCGATTGGTTCCAACCAAAAGTTACGGCTATTGAGGAGGCTCAAGATGTTGACAACCTCAAGCTGGATCACTTGGTTGGAAATCTCCAAACTTATGAGGCACATAGGAGTTTTAAAAAGAAACAAAAAGATGTTATTACTTTTAGTAGTGCTCGTAGAGTTGGAGAGAATTCTGATGAGGATTATAAGATAGATTCCAAGATTACGGCTGCTTTTGTTAAACAATTTAAAAAATCTTTTTTGAAAAAGAATCCTAATCTTTTGGAATCTACTCATACTCATAAATCAAAAGGCAAAGATAAACTCAAAATTAATTCTATAGCCAAGAAGGAGAAAGGAAAGATACAAGGGAACTCTGAAAGATTCCAATGCTATGAATGCCAAGGATTTGGCCACTTTACTTCATAATGCCCCACTCGTTTGAAGAAGAAGAAAGCCCTCACTATCACTTGGGATGATGAATTAGAATCTGATGAAGATGAAAGTGACAACGAAGATCAAGGCGAAGAGGGACATAAACAATTCCTTACTTTCATGGCGGCTTCTGAAACTGAAGGACGAATAGAGTATCTGAAGAGGCTGGTTGAGAATGCCACTGATGATGAATTCTCGGGAAGTGATGATGAAGAGCTTGAGCAAGCTTATGAAAAGTTGTATAAGGAATCTCTTAACTTATCCAAATTGAATGACAAACTCACTATGAAACTCAAAGCATATGAAAGTGAGAATGTCAAACTAAAGGAGGAGATTTCCGAGGCTAGGATTGATGCCATCAAGATAGCTAATGATCGACAAGCTCTTTGTACAAAACTCTTGACCTGTGAGACAGAGAGGAATGAGTTACAGCAAATCTATGCAATGTAAGAAGAAAAGATTGAATCTCTCGAGATGTCTCAAGTTTCCTTGGAAGAACTAATGATCAAGAAAGAGGAAGAGCTCAAGTGTGCTATGGCTACCATTGGTCTTTGGAACAAAGGATCAAAGACTTTGGAGGATATCATTGGGTCTCAACAAATGTGTTGTGACAAAAGTGGCATTGGCTTTGGTGATAACAAAGAGTAAAAATAGAGTGCATCTACATCTCATGATACAAGAACTCAAGGAAAGGGAGAATAAAAAATTCAACATAAAGATGGACTTCTCAAACTTCCTAGAGTTGGTAAGGTAAAAGAAAAGAAGGTACACCATGTGCACCCTGTTTTTATTCGTCATTATTGTGGTATGCATGGTCATATTCACCTTATTGTTATAAGTTGCATGGGAGAGTGTCTTATAGAGATAGAAGAAATTCCAACATCTCGTGGGATAGGAGACAATTCATTGGTGGTAATGAGGTTAAGGATCATATTAGACCTCATTATTTTGATTTGCTTGAGAACAAACATGAACAGAGGCTATGTTTTCCTAAAGCTAGCAATAGGAAATTGGAAACCAAGTTGAGGCGAGTTCCCATTGAAGGGGAAGGGAACCACAATGTCAAGACACCATCCAAGAACCGCAATTCTCACAACTTTCTTCATACTAAAGTGGTTTGGGTGTGAAAGCTTGACTTGTGTTAATTTGTTTATTTGTTTTAATTTTTGGGTTTATGTGTGTTTTTTTTTTTTTAATGAGAAAAAAATGTGTGCTTGTTCGATTTCTGACATGTTTTGTTTAAAAATAAAAAAATAAAAAATGTGTGCATATTCGTTTTTTTGTCTTGCTTTGGTTACGAAAAAAAATTTAAAAAAAATTCAAAAAGATTTTCTTAGTCTGGTTTTGCAAACTTGAAATATTTGAGTGGTTCTTGGTGCATATTGGAATTGATGAGAATATCCATTACATGTTAATATGTGTGTGCTTTCTGTGGTCATTACTCATTTCGGAGTGTGTGTTCTTTGATTAGTATGTCTCATTCTGTACACACTCTTGGATTAGCAAATATCGGAGTATTCCGCCTTAGTGATCAATTTTTTTTATGGACTTCTGGTATTGTATCTTCTGTTTTTCTAGAGGAATTGACCTATACTAGCATATTATGGGTGATGTTAAGTCTCTTAACCACCTTCCATCTTTTTGCATCTCCACGGCTTTCCCCTCTATTCTTTGTAGTCCAGCCATGAGGAAAAGGCTACCTCAGAGTCACCAACCAGGCCATCCTTATTATATCCATGCTTCTCTGGTTCGGTTTCCATACTCTTGAGCGTGTCAGCCACCAATGATTGTGCAAAAGAAAAAGAAAAAGAAAAAGAAAAAGAAAAAAAATGTGCAAAAAGAAAGAAAAAAAAAAAAAAAAAAAGGATTCATTGATTGAGGAGAAGCCTCCGCTTTTACTCACCAAATTACCCTTGATTCCTAGTGGTCTTGACTTTCCTTTGTTGTGCTTAGATTCTCTTGTTGGAGGTCCAGTTATCAGATCACTACTAGGATTTGAATCTTGTGTTTGTCAAACTCCAAAAGTCACACAGACACTTTTATCATGGGATCTATGCTTTTCACGTATTGCATCACTTTCTTTCATGAAGAATCTTCTACAGACTGCGCACATTATGTTTTCAAGTAATTGT